GGGGATACCTGCCATAAAGTTAGGGACTGAGATCATTTCATCACTGAAACATCAGAAGTTTCAAGTGGAAAAAATTGTGTGACAGTTTTTTGTGTGTACTCACCCTCTGAGGCCCCGATTAGGACTGTTAACTCCAGGGATTGTTTTCCATTTGGGGATACGTTAGCTTACAAAAGTAARTACAGATATTTCCTTCATTAAACTATTATTTAAAAATACCTGATCTGAGACACGCAGTGTTCATGGTAATGCTTAGCRTGAAGGTTCTGCAGAAACTTGGTGTGCAGTGGAATTAATCTGGTGAAGTGGGAAGTAAAACTGAATGTCTTTAAGTGTAAAACAGGGCCCCAAACATTATTATTCACATAGTGCTGACTGCTTTTATCCAAACATTTTTACTGTATTTCTTGGTATATTATTGGGAATCCATATTATTCTGTGCTAATTAAAAGAAACATTGAATAGCCTTAAGCTGTTCAGTTGAAATGCCCATCATATATTTTTGTCAGTACTTCAGGTCTATCTAAACACCTATACTTATATTTTAGTACATTTTTTACATTCRATTTTCCTCTGGCTCATGGAGTAAAACTCAAATCAAACAATACTTAGATAAATTGTAAATTTATCTATTTTTCCACACTGTTGGTTTCAGAGGTTGTTCCTCTGAGAGTATTACAGATGTTTTTACTCTGACATTGTGTTTAAAATCACTCAGACACTCCAGAGTGGTTTTTATATAGGAGCTCAATTGTGAAAATGATCAATTAGATGGAATTCATGGTTCTATGTTGGCTTCACCGTACGCTTACATCAAAACCTGTTTGACATCTAATTTATCATCTTTACCTGGTGGCTGAGGTTTGCCTGCACCTTCAGCAGCCRAGCAGCCCTGACGTTTGTGTCTGAYAATAATGTGCAGCCGTGAAACTTCAAATGCACAAAAGATAATAAAAAGACCATGAGTCAAATCATGAGTGAAGCAGAAACGAACAAGACAGACACATCTTTAGGAAAAATGAAATGTGTGAGGAAATTTGCTGCTATACACATTTAGATAATTTATTATTCAGGGAGAGAAAACAGGAGTGAATTTCTGATGGGAAGGAAAAAATAATCTTTCGAATGTTTCCTCTTTTCATCTTTATGTCTTTGAAATGAACAGTTGACAACCAGCACATGCTGTGAAGCAGCTGATCTAAAAATAACTTCTAACCAAGTGGATAGCTGTGTAAACGTGTGTGTGTGTGTGTGTGTGTGTGTGTGTGTGTGTGTGTGTGTGTGTGTGTGTGTGTGTGTGTGTGTGTGTGTGTGTGTGTGTGTGTGTGTGTGTGTGTGTCAGAAGGTCGTGTACACACAGTCACAGAGAAGCGCACAGAGATCCTTAATTAAAAGCACTTAATTATTATCACCCCCGAGCTGCTCATCCCTTTAATTCTTCACTGTAAAAAATGAGTGTACAGCGGTCCTGCTGGAAGCAGTGGAGGTAGTTGTTGTTAAATGTTAACATGCAGCATTGTCACATGTTCTGTTTCATTTAAAGCTGTAATTATTTACTGAACAGGCCCGGTAAGATTCAACTTTTGTGCTATGATATAAAACCAAACAGCTGACAAAAGTTATTGTTTTTCATAGTACTGATTACTCTGCTGTTTGTACATGTATATACAGTATGTATATGAGTTTTAATACACACTGTAGTGTGACTCAAAGACAGGAAGGCAAAGGGTTTGTTCCCTCTTCACTCAGTGACAAGGACAACAACAGTGGAACAACTTTTACATGTTTTCTCTTGTCAACGAAGAGGCATTTTGTTTCTAATGTGTCTTCCATCCTGTGGTGCTTCCTACTGTCTTCAGTCAGTAACTAACTGCTCAACATGTAGCTGCAGGATTACAGTTAATACAGCTCTGAGTTCAGAGTTTACCATCCAGTTATTATGCTTGGTTTGATAAAGGTCAGCTACATTTGGCATTTCTTTATGCTTCACAAATCCACATAATGAACTGAAATTACTTGAAGCTTCGGGGGCAAGTGCTTCTTTACTCAACTGCTTGGATTTTGATGTTGCTATAATTAAAATAAAAATCTGAATTATTAAAAAAAAAACAATTTAGTGCACAAAAACTGGAAGAAACAAGGATCTGGCAAGGTTCCAAAAGGCATCCAGTAATTACCACGATAATGTTCACTGGTGTGTGTTTGGTCAAACCCACTGCTGACAGGCAAACAAGAACATTTCACCCATGTTTCTATGAATGTTTTCACRTTTTTGTCTGTTAGCAAAATACCTTGTGGACCACTGGATGGATTTTAATGAACCRATAAGAAAGTATTGATTTAATGTAGATTCAATACTGATTAAGTTTTAGATCCAATCTATTTTTAGACAGTGGCCACAGACAAATTACTTTATAAAACACCAAACATGACCATAAGTCAGTCAGTTTTACAGATAATGCCCAACATTTAGTGTGGTGGCTGAGTCATTCCCAACACATACTCTGACAGTGACATTTTGTGCAGCTGTAACTGTGTCCTTTCTCAAAATAAGATAATCCTAGTTTAATCTGGGATGAAAGGCTGTGGATGATATGCATTTCCTGAAGGAATACTAGGTTTTTACTTTAATTTAAGTCCAGTTTAAGATATTAAGATAAATATTTCTAATTCACCTGCAAACAAAGAAGTACATGGGGGAGTGGAGGTTTTTGTTCTTGACGATGGCTGTGATGACCATGATGTTCTCCAGCAGCGAGATGATGCCTAGGATCAGAAACACCTGCAGGCAGAAAACAAAAACATGTCGAACAACAGAAGAGCAGCACAAATACACACACACGCATGCATGCACGCACGCACACGGACCTCCACTGCGATGTGGACCTGCTCACACGCTGCAGGTTTGGGGGTGGTGGTCTTTTCGTGTAGCAGTGAAGGGGGGTGGGTGTAGTTCTGGTGATAGTAGGCCCAGGTGGAGTTACCCAGCAGCTCCTCCTCCTGGTACGTTGTGCTGTTTGACCCATTCATTCTAGCTGTGGTTCTGGTCCAGATCGCTGCACCTCGGTCTTCATGCCATCTTCAGGCAGGCTGACAGAAAACAAAAGTCACGGTGAGTGTTGTGGAAAATGACTGCAGATAAAATGTTGGCCCCAGAAACGTGATTCAAAACAGCTGACAGTAAAATAACTCATCAGTAGGTTAATCTGGAACAGGATTGTAATAAAAGTAAAGTCCTAATGACTCTCAGCTAATATCACCTCAACTTAAGAAGCTATTTTCTGAGAAATTGACTGTTATAACTGTGACGACTGCGGATGATTAGCTGTTGTGGCCATCTTGAATAGGGTTGTCTCCAAACCATAGTGTGCCACACACATCCTTTAAATACAAAGTCTGTTTTAATAGACTATATGTTATAGATATTTTCTATATTATAGAAGAAATATTCCTTTGTAATTTGTTAAGAAATGTAACATATTACACAGGAATTTACCCATTTTGTCACATAACTAGCACAAGTTCTTTTGAACTTGGCTCAGCCAAAGTGAAACAGGAAGTGACATCAAAGGGGAACGCTTAAAGAAAGGGAACTCTACTCTTTGCTTTTTGAAACGTATTATAT